TCTGCAGTAGCTGTCGATATATCGCTTGCATGCTTTTCCCTACATAGGAAATGTGTCTGGCTAAGAAATGCCATACAGTATTATATGCCATATAATGAGGCATATAAATAATAAGAATTAAATAGCGATGTGCTGTCAAGTCAAACCTAATTTATGGCGACCCTTTTCAGGGCTTTCCAGAGAGAGAATACCCAAAAGTGGTATTGGAGCCTCAGCTTCAGGATCTGTCCTTCCAATGAGCACTCAGGGTTGATTTTCTTTAGAATGGATAGGAATACATCCATCCATACATTGCTACTAGAAAAACCATAGCTTTGACTATACTGTACAGACCTTTGTATACAATCAGTCAATTTTTATTTGCGGTCTCCGACCCATTAGGATACATACATGTAATATTTTTTAAAAATGGAAGCAATTAAAACATTTCAAGATAGCTAAAACAGTATAAATAAAATAGATTACCCATACATTGTTTGTTATGATGGGGTTAGGTAGAGGTCAAGCTTGTCTTTCGTATTCTTTGGGCAGAGAGCAGGAATTTGGCCACTGATTTGGTGGTTATCTTGTTTGTGTCACTAATATTTTATATGCCAAATCAGATTCCTACCTGGGAAAGCATTCATTATAGGCTCGGGGAATTTGATACACTTATTCCTGTAAAAATTACACTCAAAAAGGCCGTGCTTCAAAGTTTCAATTTCTCTATCCTTATAAGGACATAATCCTTTTTCATAAAGGGTGCCAGAATATCGGCCATCTAAAACTGCAGATTGGAAACAGTTAAATCAGGCTCTTGAGAAGACATGCCTGTAATTATTTTTTAATAGTCAAATTCTCCAAATATCTAGCACTTTGCTAAAGGAGATCTCTTTCTGGAAATAGGTAAGCTGCATGTTTTACTGGCCACAGTGGGGGAGCCATGTAGTGTGATGACTTTTTGTTTAAAAAGACTGGATACGTTTTTGGTAAGAACTGTGCATTATCTTTTATAATTGCTCTCACACTGCTCCACACCTGTCAATCGAAATAATCCATACATGCAGCAGTGTTGGTAAACAATAGTTTGTCGTAGTCTGTACAAAGGATTTGAAATTTGGCAGTTTTACTCCTTTCTCTAGGATCTACCATGTCTCCAAATTTCATGTACAACAATGCAAAAATGTTTTAGCTGTTTTGGCTTTCCAGTGCAGATTGTTACCCTGACTTTTCAAGTGTAGGAATTTATTTTGATGGGGCACAATTGCTATAGATCCAGGTGGTGTACATTCCAAAGCTCCCAGATGGCCTCTAAACTGAACTGGGGAAACCAGTGCGCAATCCAAGCTTGGGTATACATTATTTACTAAATGGTCAGTCAGCTGCCTAAAGCTATTTTGGCATATGCTTGAATTTCCTATTTGAGATACACATGCTGTAGTTCTTAATGATTTTGTTATTTGTAAGTTATCATCGAAGTTGTTTTATTTGTGCTTGTTTATCTTGTTACTGGATCTGCATTTGACTCGCACCGGCCCTTCAGACTATGAATGTTGGTTGCATGACTTCATGGTAGGGAGCATAATGTTCACAGCATTGGTTTACTATCTTTATTGAACATATCATGTGAAAGACAAGGCAGTCCAGGTTACATTTCATTATTAGCTCAACATCTGTCACTGTCACAATGTTCTATTTTAAAAATCAGATAGGGGATATGATAGCAGCACCTTTGAAACTAACAAACGTATTTTAGTGTGAGCTTTTGTGGACAGCAACCCACTTCCTCAGCAATATGGAGTGAAACATTGAGGCCATGGTTTATAGATGCGGCATCTATCTCTGGAGGGGTGACTACGTAAAATGGCTTACTCGGTTGGTCTTACTCTTTTATTGCATTCTACCTCTTGCTCAAGTTGCTGATCCATAACATTTTTGTGCCTTAGGCAAGGCTAATAGCCACCCTATTCCCTAGAAGAAAGCAAGTAATTTGCAGTTGAATCTTCCTGCTGGTGATGGCATAGGAACCTCCTGCATAATGTTCACAGCATTGGTTTACTATCTTTATTGAATATATCATGTGAAAGACAAGGCAGTCCAGGTTACATTTCATTATTAGCTCAACATCTGTCACTGTCACAATGTTCTATTTTAAAAATCAGATAGGGGATATGATAGCAGCACCTTTGAAACTAACAAACGTATTTTAGTGTGAGCTTTTGTGGACAGCAACCCACTTCCTCAGCAGTATGGAGTGAAACATTGAGGCCATGGTTTATAGATGCGGCATCTATCTCTGTGGAGGGGTGGCTGCGTAAAATGGCTTATTTGGTTGGTCTTACTCTTTTATTGCATTCTCCCTCTTGCTCAAGTTGCTGTTCCATAACATTTTTCTGCCTTAGGCACGGCTAATAGCCACCCTATTCCCTAGAAGAAAGCAAGTAATTTGCAGTTGAATCTTCCTGCTGGTGATGGCATAGGAACCTCCTATGACACCTGAACACACAGTAGTAGTTTTTTTTTGGGGGGGGGGGCTGGGTACCAGTAGAGCCTGTGTGCCATGTGCAACTCTGTCTGCCACAGCAGGGGAATGGCCAGGATCCCAGGAAGTGCTCAGGCAGTTTATGTGACTCTCTGTGATGGTAGAGCTGGCCCCAGGCACACAGTACCAGGATCATGATCAATACTGAAGCATGGGGTGTGGGTGAGAGCCCTTTCCAAAACTTATTGCCCTTGTTGCCCACCCAGATGTCTGAATACAGTGGTGCCCCGCATAACGAGCAATTCGTTTAACGATGAATCAGCATAGCAATGTGTTTTTTGTGATCGCAAAAGTGATCGCATAACAATGTTTTAGATGGTAAAACATCGCTTTGCGATGATTGGTAAGCGTTTCGCTTACCGATTATCGCATAACAATGTTTTAAGAACAGCTGATTGGCGGTTCCAAAATGGCCACCGGGTGAAGAAAATGGCCACCCACTGTGTTTTCGCACTCTTTCCTCGCTTACCAGGCAGCGAAAATGGCGGCTGCATGGAGGATTTCCACAGAATTGTGAGTTTTTTGCCCATAGGAACGCATTAAACGTGTTTTAACGCGTTCCTATGGGCTTTTTTGCCCCGCGTAGTGACGAATCTACATAGCGACGATTTTTTTGGAACGGATTATCGTCGCTATGCGGGGCACCACTGTATCTGTGTTCTTAGCTGAATGATATTATCATTGTCATGTTATCATAAAAGGTCTGTCAGAATGAATGACATAATTGCCCTCCAAGGCAACAACAACAATTGTGGCCAGTTTTTATTTTATTTTTTTCATGCTGTGCAGTTAAGGACACCTGGGTTAACAAGGAGCTGCTTGTCACAAATTTCTTAGGTAGGCAACAGGGAGTGCTATTACAAGAGGTGAATGAGATGTGGAATGGATATGGCATACACCCAGTATTAAGTATGTTGAATGTCTTCATCATCATCATCATCATAGAACTGTAGAGCTGAAAGAGAACCAATGGATCATCAAGTGTCTTCACCTTCATCCTGTTGTCTGTGTGCCTGACTTTGCACCACTACAGACAGACAGAGAGAGAGAGAGAGAGAGAGAGAGAGAGGAGTGAGGTGTTATTAACAACAACTGCTGGTCAGCATGTAGAAGAATGGGGCCTATCATTTAGGCCTAGCATGTTTGTCAAAATGGCCAGTGCACGAATGAAGGTCACCCTTCCATGTTCACACTAAATCGCAAAATAAAACCAGCTTCAACTTCCAATTCAGTGTATTTATTACAGAATCCAACAGCCATTCAGACATCACTGAGTCGGTTTTGAAATAAAATGAACAATGAATTAATGAGTATTACCTACTACTGGGAGAAGGAAAAAATTACAGAATCCAACAGCCATTCAGACATCGCTGAGTCGGTTTTGAAATAAAATGAATAATGAATGAATGAGTATTACTACTGGGAACTCAATAATAATTCACTGAAGCAGCTTACAAAGGGGAGGCCCCTCAGTGCTTCCCTGCATGGCTCACTCCTGTCTTAATTTCTGGACATATATGCTCCACTACCCACCCACCCCCCAAAAAAAGGTTTATACATAAAGAAGTGTTGCCAGTTTGCAAACTGAAAGCAACATGGGTCCCGTTACAGTGAGAGGCAATGATGCAATAGCACCAAGGTCTCTTGCTGTTATCGGCACTTGCTCTTATTCATTGTGAACAGAACTGCTAACTAGAGCAAGAAGGAAAAGTGTAGAAACAATGGGAATGGAGGAATAGAGCAGAAGGGGTCATAGATGAATTGTGTACCACAGCCTTCCCACACTGAAGCCTCTGTCTGCATTGGACTACAACTCCCATCAAGTGATTATGGGAGTTGTTGTCCAAAACAGATACAGAACACCAGCATGATGAAGGATAGTCTTCACAACATCTCAAGACTCCAATTTAGCAAATTAGTTAGCTTTGTGTGAGTTATGGCTGTGAAAGAAAACTGATCCACTTGGAAATTTTCCAGAGCACCTTTGGTTAGGGCTAGTGCCTTTTCCCCTGAGTAGCCTGCCTTTTCTTTAAGGGTCTCCTGTGATCTCAAATTATCTCTTCCTTAACAAAGTATCTCTTCTAACTTGACAGGAAGTGATGCCCTGAGTAGCCTGCCTTTTCTTTAAGGGTCCCCTATGGTCTTAAAGTATCTCTTCCTTAACAGTTCTAACTTGACAGGAAGTGATGCAAAACAGATGCTTTATGCTCAATCTTTAGATGCTTGTATTGGGTAGGGAAGTTGGGTTATAGAGAAGCAGGGATGAAAAACAACCAGATTTGGGGCTTTAGCACCATTTTTAAAAAAGATACAATAGAGCAGCAGCACCTATCCTCTGGGATTCTGTAGAAGTACAGAATTAGTTATAGAAATACATTGATCTGAAATAATCCTTCCTCCCTCCCCCCCTTCTGTGTGTGTGTGTGTACAAACACAACAGCAGTTTCCATGACATAGCCACTCCAGTCATATTGTTTCCTCCTGCCTTAGACAAGCACTCACAATGGCAGAAGAGCTGTGGAAAGAAGGGAGAAAGGGATAGAGAAATGTATAATGTATTTTTTGGTAAGCTGTTCTGTTTATGATGCCCAACTCTACTTGTCTCTTAGCGTACCTGATCCAAGGCTTCCACTGCAGTGCTGCAAGATTACCTGCAAACCAAGAACATGTCGACCCAGGTAGGTAGCCTTTCCTGCAAGAGGCAAACCCAAAGTCTATCAGGGTTGCGGAAAAGGTCACTACGGGACTCAGGGTCTTGTTGGGGGGCAAGAAAACAGCAGTTCCTGCAGCTGTCAGAGCCACAGACAATTGCACAAGACCCCAGATGGTTGAGGAAGAAAAATGAGAGAGGGAAGAGAACAGTAGATTTTAAAGAATGTGAAAATGCGGGGGTGGGGGGGGGAAGGGGAGAGAGAAGGATAATGAAATGGAGGGCATCAACTTTTCCTTTCCTTCTTCAGCTGGTCCCTTAATTCCTGACGTTTTTGTAGATCATGAAGAAGAGGCTTAGAGGTACAAAGCCCCCTCAGAGGTTGTTTCTCTGCTCACTGCGGGCCTTGTCCATGCCTGGTCGCCCATACCAGGCCCTGCCTAGTGGCTTCCTCGGGGACTATGATACCAGCACCCGCTACACCAGCATGGTGCCTTCCAAGACGTCTTTGTCGGTGAGTGACTCGACATGCTGGGATGTCCATGTGCTTCCCCACCCCCACCCCCAGTGCCTTCATGCTGGGCCTCATCATGCTCTGTCCCTGCTTTCTCTCTGTGAGAGACCCCCCTGCTGTTAGGGTCAGCCCTTATCCCCTGCTTCCCTTACCAGTCATACACATGGTGACCTAGAGCTTCCTGCCAAGACTTGCTGGGCACACTGCCTAGTGTAGCAATATGGCACTGCCTTAATCTAGATCCAGGAACTGGTGCCACAGTTGATCCTGCAAAGCTGTACTAATTCCTGGCATTCCCATGCCCCAAAAGATCCACTTGCCACCTGTGGGGCTCAACAGCCAGCCAACTACAACAGCTGGGCCAGGTCAAATTTTGATACTCAACAGCCCTTCCTCCCCCTGTGGCCAACGGAGGTCTTAGGCTCAGTGCTCCAGGCCCAGCTGGCCCAGGGCTGTGAGGCAGCTTGAGGGCCAGAGTTCACAGCTGTTGGCCACGTCCTGAGGTCTAGAGGTGACAGAGCAAGCAGGCACAAGACTGAAGGGTATAAGACAGAAGTAGCCGTGGCACCTTTGGCCCTCCAGATGCTCTAAATTCCCTCGGATGCCCCAGCCAGCATGGCCTAATGGCCAGGGGAATTAAATTATAGCTGAAACCATCTGGAAGAGCAAAGTTTCTCCACACTAGGTGTAATATGATGTACGCAATTCATGTGGAAGGTGTCATGTCCAACATGAAATGGAGTGTCTCATAATTTTTTCCAACCACTGGAAGCTTAGTACAAGGAAGCAAGGTATATTAAATCCTGTAAGCAGCCAGGAGGAGGAGACATCAAAATAAGGGCTACAGAGTCACACAAAGGAAGAGTGGCTGCTGACTTTACTTCCACTGCACCATACCACACATGTACACACCCACACAGGCGCACATGAATACACAGGCATGCTCATGGACATAACAGTTACAACACAGTCACTAATGAAGTGTGTGTTGGCTCTTTTTGATACAATTATCCGGGATAATCTTTATGAAGATTATGGGGATCGGATGGATGGAGCAGATTGGACGCCTGTGTTTATTAAAATATGGATTTTGATCCCTTTGTGGGGACTGAAGCCATGCGGGGGAGGGGTGGCATTGAGCCGGGGAAAGGAGGGGGGGGATGCTTAGTGCTGCAGCAGTTCTTTATAAATCACTAAGAGCAGCGTCAGGGCATCAGGGCTGGAGTAGTGGCCAGAGGGCGCGTAAAGTGCACACACAGCCCTGAGAGGTCCTGTGCAACCAAGTCACAGAGATAAACAGCTTTTATCCCTGGAGGAAGGAAGGAACCTATTTTGAGCAGTGTGTATAGGAGGGGTGTTGTCGACCATGACTACGGTAGAAGCCAAAGCTGAAGAGGAGGAAAAAAAAGAGCCAGATTCAGAGCCCGCCTCAGATCCAGTTCTAGCTCCTGAGGAAGTGCCGCAGGCACCGCCAGAGACAGCGCCAGAGGCAGCCCCAGCAGCAGGATCCAACCCATCAAGTGGGGTAAGGTTGAAGCACAACGAGACATCTAAATGAGGAGTCCATCTGACCCATGGGGCCTGTTTTTACAGTACCGTATGCCTTGGGGTTTGGTCTTCCGCAATCTTCCAAGTCTGAGCCTCAGAGGAGAAAAAAAAATACTTTTAAAGGATTGGTTGATATAATTCAAAGTTCTGAAAGTTTACTTTTTTTGGACTAGAACTCTTAGAATCGCCCAGCCAGCATAGACGTTTCTGGGAGTTTTAATCAAAAAACATGACTTTCCCAACTGCGGGGTGGCAATGCTCTGGTAACAGGTGGGAGTTGTGATTGCTAGAGACCTAGGGGAAAGAAAATGTTTCACTGACTCTGTGCTGGTACCATTTTGGCATATCCAGTTCTACTGGCTCTCTTTAGCAACCTCCATTTTAATGCTCAGCTATAATCGTTCTATCCTTTGTACATGTTCTTGCTTTATGCTGCCCATCCTATTTCCCCTCCCTGAAGGCTCAGGCCGATCCTACTGTTACACATCGAGCTGCATGTCTCAGATGACTGAACTGGAGTATCATGAAAGGGAAAGAAATTATTAGGGATTTTGTTTATTATTACTTTCTTTTTGTTTCCTGGAAAAGGCATTTGCAAAGTTTAATGTCTCGGGTATCAAAGCAACTCAGCTGTGGGTTAGTACAGAGTACAGTGTATGATTTTCTCAGGTGGGAGATAGACATATTTACTGATTCACCTCAGAAAGCAAATATCTTGAGCTGGCCCTGCCCACAGCTATTCTTGGTTGGCACCACCAGTTCTACATGTCTAGTGTGTGTTTTCTAGTGTTTTAAATAATCTTTGTTTGTATGAATGGCATACAAATGGCAGGATCCATTAGTTCACAGTCCTGGTGCATTTGGGTCAGAAGTTGCTCCCATCAGGTTTTGATTCATACTAAGAAATCTCCCTTTTGTTCAAATATGTCATTTTGACAAACTAAGGAGTTGATGAATTGATTTTAACTCTACTAAAATGCTAATGACAATTAGCTACGAAGTAGACATAAATTGAAAACACTGAACTACAAATCCTATAGGTATTCTTTGGAGATGTTTTTATATTCTTCCCCAGGCTATTTCATGAGTGTTAAAGAATAAACAAGCTTGATACTAAGAAACCAGATGAAGGATGTTTGTTTAGAGGAGTTCAAAAACACGGCAAACTATTTAAGGAAGAGATATCAAATCAGACCTATGTCTGCAGTAGCTTTCAGCCTTTGAGCCTGTGATGTATAGCTTGGGAGCATTCGTAAGGGCTGTCTAATATCTTCGCTGCCTGAGGACAATAGTCAGATGGTCCCCCTCTGCATTCAATGTACAAAAGATGACAGGACTGCGAGTTTAACATTGCATTAGCACCAGTTTTATATGGGGGGGGGGGGCAATTTACTTCAGAAGAATTTGAATTAAAACCTACTGACTATACATTGTAAAGCTCAATGTGTGGAAGCGAGGTGTGGAATCATCTTTATTTGAGCCAGGAATCATCTCTTTTTTCCCCAGTCAGCTTTAAATTTAAAGTTTAAATTTGCTCCAATCAGGTTGATATTGATTTTGTTCATTTTCTGCCAGTAAATTGCCTCATTTGATGCAAAGGGGAGCTTGTGGTGATGTCATTTCCCCTCAGCCAAGCACCCCTAGTCTCCGCAGGGTGTCTTTAACAAAACTCCAACCAATTCAGCATTGGAAGAGAGTTTTGCTTAGGGCACTTAGAAGAACTAAATGAAGAAAAAACAGAGAACTTGAAATGACCAATTAACACCTTGTTAAGTCAGCTTCTGCTGTTGGAGTTCTCTGCCAACGGAGCCCTCTGCCTTGCCCTGCTGACTCCTGTAAATTGTCGTCTGGACAGGTACAGCAATTTCACCAGTGGAAATCCAATTTGATAGACTGCAAGTACCTTGTGGATCAAGTTGTGTTTTCCCCGCTGTGTAGTTTCATCCTGAGGTAGCTTCTTCCATGCTATCTGAGGATGATCGGCTAGTTTAGGGGGTGGCGTCAGATATGTTATACAGCACAAACAATTTGTTTCACCAAGAAGGGAAAACATTTATGGGGTCTAGAAAAAAAAGTTAAGGTCTACTACTGCTGCCCCCCCACCCCAGTATAGGTTGCCTATGTTAGTTGCCTCACTCTGTCTACTGGTAGAGTTGACCTTGCCTTGTATTCTACTTCTAGATCTAGTGTGTGATTCCACTGAGTAATAAACTCAGATATCCGCAGCCAAATCCTTCCAATAAACATGGTCTCTAATTCACTGTATTCTCTTCTTCCGTACAAAAGGGTGACCAAACCGCACTGATTGTTAGTCAGTCCTGTCCAGAGCAGATGAATGACTTTAATTCCTAATCCTAAAACATCCTGGCTCCATCCCTCTGCAAGCTTTACCAGCATTGTAGCCTGAGTCCCTTCTGCAGAAGCTTTAACAATGCCAGTTCTTAGTTGCTGATTTCCAACAGAAGGCAGCCTTCTCTTTCACTTTAAAGAACAGTACAGTACTTTCTCAAACACAGAAACAGCTGAGAGCTTCTCGTGCACTAGAGAGCTAGAGGGGTCTTCCTTTAAAACCCTGGTGCTCTGATCTTGTATGACCCTCAGTTTCATAGCTCACTGTAATCTGTCATAAAGATAACACTGAAATTTAAAATTCAGTTAGGTGTTGTTTGCTGTTCTAGCTACTGAAACTCTTTGTGGTGTACAGTTATGGCACACGGCTGGGGAAATCAGTCTTGTCAAGACAGGCTAGGTAGAGGCCCTGATGGGGAATTCCTGCAGTTCTGAATTTCCTGTTATGGCACTGGATCGGACACACTTCTGACTCGACAGAAAGGACCCTTGCTTGGTGACAGAGAACATGCTTTACACCCATGTTGTCCTTTGGACCCTTGTCTGAAATCTTAGGTAGCTGTTTCCGGTCAGAACAGACAGTACCAGTCTGTATGGTGCCGTAGAGGGCTGCTTACTGCATCCCTCCAGTGTCATTTAAATCTTCTTGTACCTTCTTGCATCTTCTTGCACCTCTCCCGTCTTGTTCATCTCTTCCACAGCCCCTTCCTTTATGCTAGGCTCTGACCTTGTTACAGTACACTCAAGGTTAGGCAGGGCTCTCACTCATGGAAATGCCTTAAGCATGTTTATCAGAATGCACGTACAAGTTGCTGCAAACCTTAGAAGGTCTGCCTATCTTCCCGGTGGACTGGGGACCAGGGGTCGGACTTGCCTGCATTCTCATGTCACCTCCACACTTTAAGTACTATTCAGATTCAGCCTGTCACTCCTGGATAGAGCTTAGATCTCTGTCCAGCCTACATAGTCCTAGGCAGCAGGGCTAATCCTACCAGAGATGACACAACAGCTGAGGCAGGACCTCAACTTCTTTTTCAGTTCAGTAGATGTCCAATGCACCACTTTGTGTTCTTTGGATCAGTTTCAATTAGTAAGGCCAAAGG